CAGCCAGCAAAAACGCATATTGTCGAGAGGCTGTGTGTGTGTGTGTGTGTGTGTGTGTGTGTGTGTTCGGAAAGCGACTGCATTTTGTCACCCATATTCATCTCAACAACCAGGAAAGCTGGGAGGCTGAACTTTGCATATATGTTCCTATCCCTGTGTCATCCTCCCGTTTTAAGATCTTTCCCCATACGCGCCTAAACCCGAGTACGGGACCCCCAAAGAAATATGTTGGCGGGAAACGATTTTGCGAACCAGGCAACGTAAAAAGTTGAAACTTTGAAGGGATATTCTCTATGCCCGTGCGACCCAAAGATTTTAAACTCAGCTGTCGAGCGCTCCAATCACAGCCTCAAGCAGTTCCTCAACCCAAAAATAGTTAGCAACTTGGACTTGAACCACGATCGTGTATATAAATGAACATGGATTTTTTGACAAACAACCGCTCGAGCAATACTTCCACTCTTTAGTGAACTGGGAATTTGCATTTTTTCAAAAAATTTGCATTTGCCATTTTCCCACAAAGCATGCATTTGCCGAAAAAAAGACCGGACTTCATGCAAGAAACCGGTAATCATGCACCTGGATATCCGCGCGGCTATATAATGCAACACCTTCATCCCAACTGACGCCCTTCTTCCTGCATCCCGGAAAGGGCCAAAACACGGTCAATGTTAACCCAAGTGTTAGGCTACAACGTAGGGATCATTCTTACTAATAGCGATCTGCGAGTTTAGTGCAAAAACGCACGATCGCACTGGAAAGCCTGGTGCGTTCCAGCCTGAGTTTAAGACGCCCGCTCACGGTACCCAGGCGTGGGCGGGAGATGATATTAGAACGGGAGGGTCGTATATGGTGTGGGCACATGCTCCCAAAGTTTCAGCCTTCTAGATTTTCTGGTTCTCAAGTTGAATGAGGGCGACAAAAAGTGGGAGCACATAGACATACATACAGTCCCTTGCCAATATATGTTTTTGCAATTTCGTATACGCGAAAACACACAAAAACGCATATTTTGACCACCCATAATGTGCATATGCATATGTGTGTGTTTATGTTTGTGTGTATGTATGTGTGTGTGCATCTGTCCGGGATTTCAACTTGGCAACCAAGCAAGCTCCGGTGCTAAAATTTTACCAGCCGGTTCTCCGGCCAAGTAAAACCACAAGACCTCGATAAAACCGCTAACTCGGGAACCAGGCAAGCCGGGAGGAAGAAATTTTGAGAGGATGTTCTCAACACACATGCAATTTACAGATTTCAAATTCAGCCATAAGGTACGCGTGATTCTCACTGACGGGACTGTGTAGATTTTTGGCAGAAAAACTGCTAACTCGGGAACAAGAAAAGCTGGAAAGCTGAAATTTTTACGGAATGCTCCTTGTTCAAGTACCACGTAACTGCATAATTAAATTCCTGAACTTCGACTAACAGTATGTCACAAATTCTAGCTACTAGGATTTCAAGCGATCTTACAACAGCGCAAAATACTCCAAGCGAAGTATCGCACGGTCCCGCTTGATGCGTTTTGCCAATGCTTATTGATCGTCCATCGAAAAATGCATATTTGACAGTGCAAAGGATGCCGGAAGAGGAAAATTACGAAATCCACAAAATGCATCCGCTTTTGGGTTTGCAGTAGAACTGAGCATGGTTCATGTCCGAGTGCACGGAATTTAGTCGCCAACCTTACTTTAGGCCACACTTGAACACAGAATATTTTTGCAGAGTTATGGCCTAGCAGCTTATCCGGCAAGCAAAATAGTCAATTCGTTACAGATATTTTTAGACATGTCTTAAGTCGTATCGCAAATGCAAATAGGAACTTAATTATTTATACGATTTTTTTGATAGGCGACAAATATTTTGGCAAAATTTCAGCTAATATTTTTCAGCAAGTTTTAGCGTTTACCCGACTCCAACTTGCAAGCTTTTGCGTAACCGTGCGCATGACGCAAATGTGCACGATTGCTGAATTTATAATTTTTACCTCATACATGTACAGAAAATCCTGCAAAATTCCAGCTTCCTTTGTTTACAAATTTCGAAATCGTTTTGCGCCAAAAAATTTGCGTATTTCTTTAAAAGGCATGTGCATGAGAACCGGGCGCGCAAGAGCGGCAATTTTAAAAAGACAGGGTGACGCATAGGATGAAATATACTTCGAAAATTTCAGTTTCCCACCTTCCCTAGTTGCTGAGCTTGAAGTGAGTTTTCACTTACTGTAGCACCGCTTGGAATCCAAGTAGCTAGAATTTGTGACACATTGGTCCTCGAAGTTCAGGAGTTAATTATGCAACTACGTGTTACTTGTACAGGGGACGATCCGTTAAAATTTCAGCTTTCTACTTTTCAACTTAGCAATTTCCTGCTAAATTCAGCCCCCAGGTACGGGGTTCTCAAGTACGTAAGAACCACGCATATATCAAAAAAATATAAAAACCGCTGAGCAAACTTTCTAAAGTAGAAGATTCCAATCAACAATCAGGACTGCTTTACAAAAGTTGAATTAAAAACTGGCCAGAACGAAGAGGACAAAATTTGATCGAGTCAATGCAAAATAAGTGTGCAAATGTGCCGGCTTTTCCTGCTGGTAGAAAACGGCGATAAGGGTGGGTAGAAAAATAGGTCAAGCGAGGCTGACTACAGGTCGAATGAACTGCACTCTGATGACTGCCACTCCCCGGAAAGTTATTTGGAAGCGAGTTGACACCGATTACAACTGGACAAAAATGGATAGGAAAATCGAATAGGAAATACTATTTCTCTGAAAAAAATTATTGCCTGAGCTGAATTGAATTTAAATGGGTGAAGTGCGTATCTATGGTCCTGTTTTTCACAACCATGGAGACGTACTTGGTGCTCCCACACTGTTCGCATGTTAATTAGTAATTGAGGAATGAGTGATAGAAAATGCTTAGGAATTGATTCAACACATCACTCGAAGAAAAGTACAAAGGTTTTTTTATTACTTTTATTAATTTAACATAGCTAGAATTTAAATGAGCTCTGAAAGTTCGTAAGCAATTTTCGGATCCAAATTTCGGATGATTTTTTCTTCTTTCAAACGCAACGCCTTGATTTCATTGAATTTGCTGCGAGCTTCCTTTGAGAGTTTGCCTAATCGCTGTTCTGTTCGTACGATCCGCTCGCGGACTGCATCAAGCCAGAAATTGAAGTCAGACAACTTAAAAAAAAATACTTTTTTGATGCATCAGATGACACATATTCCAGAATTTCTGGGCATATTTTTAAGAAACTCGAAAATAGCGCTCCGCCGTATCAGAGCATGAACATAATATGTTCGGTAACTCAAGACAAATTTTTCGACACATATGTCTCTGGAGCTAATTTGTTTCCTGAAAACACAATTCCGAACATCCATTTATGATTTATTCGCTCATTTACAGCAGTCAGTTTGTTGCTACAGCAACGGGGCATGACAAAGACTCAAACTTTTGATCCTCGAGGAAAATTCGAACAGGATTCAGGCTAGCCAGCACATTGTTCTCCTAAAAAATGCTGGCTCATAAATGGCAGGCAGTGATTATCAATGTTAAGGGTTAACTTTCTCTCTTTCAGTTCTTTCTTATACCCGTCTTAGGTACATGAGTGTTCAGCATATGGCGCATAGGAAGCTGTGCTGATGATCTCAGCTTCTATCCGCACACAAAGCTCGGTCTCTGTTTACAGCTGAGAAAATGAAACACAGGCTACATCCAAAAATGTCTTCTGACACACGAAACTTAATTCACACCTTTATCTCTAATTCAACTGTTTAACGGAAGTAAATTATTGATGATAGCTGTTTTGACCGAAGGAGCATTTGCTGTACTCAGTTCTTAATGTTTTCATCTCCCTCGGGCAAGAATATAAGGAACAAATCAAAACTTCTAGTTCCAGGCAGAAAAATTAAATAAAATATTTTTACTCATTTTTCCGGTAAGAGCTCTTACGAAAAATGGATACAATTTCACCTGCAAAAAATTCAGTTCCCGTTGCGCCAGTGCTTTCATTCGTTTGAATTTTTCGTTAACACCAATGGTGTTGTTTAACCAGATTTCATCAAATTTTCCACGCACATCCGCGCTGCTTGTCTGTATGAAATATGGCGTGCCCGGTGGGAACACTGCCCGCGCTGCTTCAGCTTAAAACAAAATCAGCGAATTTGCGGTAAAAGCCAGTCGAACATAATAAAATATTGAATTTTGGCAAAGTTTCCTGAAAGTCGATACCTAAATGACAAGTCTTTTTTGCATTAGTTTTTATGCGTTTTTTGCATTTATGTAATCCATACCTTGTAATCCATACCTTTTTTGCATTTATGTAATCCATATTCTCTGTGTGTGTGTATCTGTTATGTGTATGTATGTGTCTGTAACGAGTTTTCATCTCGGTAACTTAATCTACACATACATGGGGCCCCTACCCTCAATATGGACGCTCACTTCCGCATGGTTCCCACGCAAAAACTTTTTCGGTAGAAAAGCGTTTTCGAGAACGGCGCCAGCTAACAGGCTGAAACTTCACAAAGATGTTCCTTGACCGTTTTTAATCCAAAGATTTCAAATTCAGCCTTCAACCACTCTTAGGTCATACGTACGAACTGGCATCACGCCAGCTTCAGATTTAAGCTGACCAAGAAGCTGCAGAGAGGGCAATTTTGCAGCGTTGCTTGTCGCCCACAGTGCGCCCGTGAAAGTAAATTGAGCTTTCCAGCCCTTCTGCATCTCACGTACGCACACGTGAAAGTCTGTAACTTCAGAATTGAAGCAGCTAGAGGACTGCAACTTTCTGAGCATAACCGATGGCAGCCTTTGGCCAGTTGGACGTAAAACTATTTTTACGTCTCTTTCATGCCTCGCGAATGTCTTATGTACACGAGCGTGAAATTTGCCGTAACTTTGCAACCAAAACAGCTAAAGTGTAGAATTTTTTGAGCATGAACTGGAAGTCATTGCTATAATTTTAGTAGTCGTGGCAGCTACTCTCAATTCTCTTAGCTAGAATCATCTGCCGGAAAATCAGTGCCTTTAGCAAAAAAAATCTACAGGGCAACTCTGCAAAAACGCACCTTCGCACCGGCAGTCGGTGCGTTGTCGACTATACTTTGAATTGTGTTTTTAAATCCTTAAATTCACAGACACAGACGATTGTTAACAGGACTTTCAAGCGGGACTTCGAGCCTTCTACTTATTTCTTCTATACTTTGTCTTTTCCTCAGTTCACTTCTACACCCTTTATTTTTTCGCAAACGTTTTGACGCTTCTTATGAAGGGAACGGGAATGTGTCAGTGTAGAAAGAGGTAAAAGCACGTATGTATTTCAGAAAATAAAGAAGGCGGACGAGCGAGACTGACAAGTGAGGAACAGAAGAGAGATAGGCTTGATGTACTGCATAGCAGCTCCTACTTAGCTCGATTCGCTGGTTCAGCTCCGTAATGGAAAAACCTCGGCGTTTCGTTCCAAGAATACTGGCATAGTTAGATATTCAAACTCTCGCCAGCTTGTTATTGAGCAAATCTTGAAAGAAGAAACAATCGATGGTCTTGCCAGCGCACTGTAGCTGTTGGCAAAATGGTGTCACTATCGATAGATTTCGGAGTTTGATCCTTCACAGGATACAGCAGAAAAAAAGCGGCTGATTTTAAATTTGCAGATTACCTTTTTCATTTCTAAAAGTACGGTTCGGTAACGCTGATGCAGCAGCGTAACCAGGCTTAACAATCAGCCGAAGATCAAATGTACGCACCAACGGCCAAATCCGATTGTCCTGGCTGGCCGGATCTTGTAATCCTAGCAATTTCATTAGGAAATAGCACAGACAGTGTTTGCATTCTTTGTTCGTTGCAGTCTTGTCCAGTCCGATAGTTTCTCCAAATATCATAAATTCGTGTCTGCTGCTCAGTCGGAAGCTGCCCAACAAAAAATGGCACACCACACCAAATTATCTGGAAAAATAGGCAACATTTTTTTTCCTAAAATGAACTGCAGCACAGTTACTTGATGTAATCTAGTGACCAGGATATTTTTTTGCAGAAGCAGGAACACCTTTAAAATGTTCTGATGGAGGAAATTTCCGAAACAACATTTGACACGTGCGTTATCTCAACAATCAATACCTTAACACAAGCTTTCCGGTGCCATCATGCGTTTTTGCGATAAACTAGAAGCAGTCAAGTCGATAACCTTATAAATGGCTGTTGCTTTAAATTTAATTGCGCACTCAGTGCTGTAAATCATTGCACATTTTGCAGGAATACCGGCATAACTAGATATCCAGGCTGGAACGAGCTGGAAAGCACTAGGCTTGCCGGTCACGCGTTTTTGCACTAAACTCGCAGATTGCTAATAGCAAGAATGACCCCTGCACTGTTGCCTAACAATTAGGCCCTAATGACCTTGCATTGGCCTCTTCGGGCATGCAGGAGAGAGGGAATCGGCTGGGATGAAGGTGTTGTATTATAAAGACGCATGAACTTCCAGGCACATGATTAGCAGTTTTTTGCATGAAGTCCGGTCTTCTATCGGCAAATGCTCCCTTTTTGAAAAAATGAAAAGTGCAAAGATTTCAGATTTTCATTGAAAAGTGGAAATGTTGCTACAGTCGGTGCGATCATGCGTTTTTGCACCAAACTTGAAATAATTAGGTGAACTGCATGAATGGTTATTTCTTCACACCAACCTTGTGCACTCAATACCGTAAATCACCGTAAATTTTGCATAAACGAAAATAAACAATTTCTGCTTAGCTGTCGTTTTTATGCGTTTTTGCCTATATGCAAATTGCAAAAACGCATATTGGGACAACCCTGTCTGTGTGT